GAAACCTTGCCATTCGCGCAGCAAGTAGAGAAAGCTGGTATTCTTACAGATGTGTTAGTTATTCTTTCATCAAGCCACATAAGAGCTCCACACTTTGAACATCTATGATTCATGCTGCCTAGTGTATGACGGTGCAAACCATGTGAAGTCCAGGGATAGATACGTGCTTTTGGAATCTCACCAGATTTAACAGTTTTTTTTTTTTTCGGCTACGACAACTTTGCTGTCATTCACGTTGGAGCCTTTTTTGGCGTTCTTTAGGAGTTTCGTTGTTCATATTTTAAATATTTTAATGTTTTATATATATAATAGGTTAAGCTTTTAATTATATATTGGTTTAATTATTAGAGATATCGACGTGTTTAGGACAGGACTATAACATTTATCGGCATACGACGATATTCTTATAACAACGCAATTTGTTATTACACGTGTGAATTTTACTAAATCTTTTTTCTTCATTTTTTTATATAGATAAAGGAAAATAGATCCATTAATTTTGACAATTGATAATATTGATAAAATTCAATTTAATGATAAAATTCAATTTAATTAAGGATTATTGGAATTATATTAATGAACATTTACCGCCTAATTTTTTGATTCGTATTAAATTAGTAAGTACATATATAAAGAATATTTTAATCGCGTGAATATTAGAACGTTTATTAATCTAAGCAGATAAAATAAGCAGTTTAAGTTCACTAAGATTTACAATTTTATTTGTTAATTTAATATGAGTATAAAGTTATTTAGAACATTTATTATTTGTAATAAGCAAGTTCATGAATATTTATTATTTAATTACAATTTACTTCTTTCACTTTACAGAAACTTAAATTTCTTAAGGCATATAATCATAATTAAATTTAATCGTAACTACTTATTTACTGTATTATTTTTGCGTTTATCTATTCCGTAAATAATCTCTATAAATGCACGCACCCTACGGCTCAGTCCCAACTAATAATGACACTTATAAAACCATACTATAAATGTCGGTCCCAATGGGAGTGCATATATGAAGGTTTGACGGTAAACAATTAATTCTCAACAAATTTCTAACCGGTCTAAAAAGATAACATCTTTATTTTTAAAAAAGTTGCGAAAATCATATGATATTGTCAATTCATGACTTAATATTTATCAATATATTAACATGATTGATTTAGTAAGTGTTTTTTTTTCTTCGATTCTTTGAAGTGCAAAGCGATCGTTAAAAGCATAAAATCCAATAAACACACTACTATAAAAATATGCTGTAACCTAATTTCCATTAATAATAAACGAAAAAAGAATGAAAATTATCAAGGAAATGCAATTGGACCGATCAAGGAAATGCAATTGAACCAGAAAATCTTGTAGATTTAATTTTTAATGCGCTTTCGGAAGATTATAACTCTAACGCGCTTTCGAAAGATTATAACTGATGTGCTTTCAGAAGATTATAACTCTAATGCGCTTTCAGAAGATTATAACTCTAATTATTAGTTGAATCCAGGACACAGCAACAAAGAACTATAGAAGAAAACAAATAGTAACAAATGGCTCAATAGCATAAATTGGATGATTATAATAATCGTTTTAAAAGGCACTAGAATATTCCAATTGCTTAGAAAAACCGTAAGTATAATACGTTCTGGACTTTCTGGCTTGATATAGTTGTCACAGGATATTCGAAACTTTTTTGGGTGTAATAACAAATGGCTCAATAGCATAAAATTGGAGGATTATAGTCATTTTAAAAGACACTGGAATATTCCAATTACTTAGAAAAACCATAAATACAATATGTTCTGGTCTTTCGTTTTATTAATTAGAAAAACCATAAGTACAATACATTCTGTTATAATAAATAATATGTTTAGTGAGTTATTCGAAATAAATAAAAGGATTAATTTGGTAGTCTAAATAAGGACAATACGTTCTGGACTTTCTGGCTATAATAAATAATACGTTTCGTGAGTTATTCGAAGTAAATAAAAGGATTAATTTGTTAGTCTAAATTGTTGTATTTGAATTTTAGTGCTTGATATAGGTATCACGGAATATTCGAAACTTTTTTGGATAGCAAATTTATGCCGGGTTAAATTACGCGACCTTGTAATTTTCGGACTGATCCAGAATGGTATTGAATTTATTTATACAGGGTAAACTAAACGTGACACGTAAGATTTTAATATATTAGATAGAACCAATTACTTGATCTTTCTAATAAGCAAAGTAAAATTTCAGAAGTTTGAATGATCTCTTTTTATACTAAATAATTCATGAATAAATAGATCACCAAATCTGAAATTAGTTTAATAAAATCTGCAAATTAGTCTTGTTAGTAATAAAAATATTTAATGAATAAAAATAAGTTAAGTATATAAAACATTATAAAATAATTTATCTGATTATAACTTATAATCTTACTAGTCTTATTAATAATACTATATATACAAAATCTAATACAACATTTTTCTTCAAATATATCTACTGATCCAACTCTTCAAAATATTTTATATCTTAAATATTTACATTGAATATTCTTAAGAATAGCTTATTAGATGTTATTACAAAATATATCAGTGTTTCAAAATTAAACCTATGCTCAAAATGTAATCAAGAGTTTTTTGTATAAAATTAAAAAACTATTTATCATACTTACTTGTGACTATATATTTCATCACAATACTCTTGAACATTATGTAAAAAATCTTTTACAATACCCAAAGTGTACAATAGAAATCAAACACATTAGCAACACATCAAGTACCATTGTCTCAATGAAAATTTTATCACAAATAGTATCTGATCAGAACCAGAATACAATAATCTCAGAAGCAATGACACTTTGTGTCTCTAATTCTATCTTATCACATCTTCTATTATATTCAACTTATGCAAATCAGATCCAAAATAACAAGCTTAAATCTAAACAAGATTATGTAAAGAAGATGAAAAAAAAGAACCTCCAAGTCTAAAAAAATTAATCAATAAACTATCTACTAAAAATTTAAATTCCACAAAAAACTAATCAAGAACTTATTAGAACCAATTATAATTTTGACTGGGATCTTAAAAAATACCTTAAATATCATAAAAAAACTCACAAAAGACAAGTTGCTCAGGTCCTAGTAAATGATGAAGTAAGAAGCCAACTCCCAAAAGAGATAAGTAATAATGCATTGCACAAAAAAATAGAGCAAACCCAGAAAATCTATAATCTTTTTGATGCTATTGATGAGGATAAAATAGTTAGAGTTAGAACTTTTACTGCATTAAACATTTCTAAACTAAGTCAGGAAAATATTGGGTATGTAATACTTCATATTATAAAAAAATCAAAGTGATCCTTTTTCGGGTTTACTGCGCCACATTACTGCACCTTGTAAAACGTCCTAGAGGTCACACTCTAAGTAATAAAGTTTTTTTACCTCAATCTGATTTCCTGCCTTGTAATAATAATATCCTGATCCGTTGGAAATTAGCGGAAACGAAGTTTTCGCTTATTCACATACGGTCAGGGTATTATTAATTAATCCTCCCGTAATCTTGATATAGTGATCGGGGATTATAAATATTACCTGGCTTATGTATGGCACGTTTCGTACAACCTGTGCCTTTTGCACGAATAATATACAAATGAAAAAAATCGGAATGTAATCATCATTCACATTTATATTGTAGAACAAGAAAAAAGTAGCGAATGGAATATATAGGCGGTGTGAATGTGAATGTGATAATTTTAAAAGAGAACCTCGAATATTTCTGACCGCATGGTCCCAGAAATCCACTTCCTATCTGCCCTGTTATTTATTCTCCAGCATGCACAGCTTTTTACTATATTTAACAGTGCAGGTATCACAAATATGAGAAAAAAGGTGCTAGGAAACCATAAAACTTTCAGAACTCATTGACCGATCGGTCAGCAAAAAAACACATGACTGTTGCGCAGTAAAAGCTCATTGAGTTCACAGATGCTCAAGTGATTATAAAACACTTATTTGATCATTCTAGCTATTACATTCAATCTCTTCTCAACATAATTTTGATATAGATGATGCTGAAAACGGTTTAATTCGAACTATCATTTCTTATCACTTGGAAAATCAACGAGGACTAGTCGAGTACTGAAGATTTTTTTCAGATTCAAGAAAATAGTATTTTCACTATACATTATAGAAGAATTGTCACTTAAAAACATTAACTCCGACCAAAAGAAAAAATCACGTGCGCGTTCTTTTTCGGAACGCCGATCACTTTGCTAGGAATAATTTTATTATTCGATACACCCACCCATACGAAAAAAAAGTAGTTATGATAGAAATGCTACCAGGTACTTTATTAATATGGGAAAATAAAATACATTAGTTATCTATGATAACATTTCTACGCTAAACTGCACTAAATTACATGATAGATATAATGTGATGCTTCTTATTCTAATTATCGAGGTGGATTTGAAATTGATTGTTCCAATGATCGCGCAATTTTAATAGTCAGCTAATAATAATGAAATCAAATCAAAAAAAAAGAGAATGAGTATGAGAATGACAAACGTGCCCTTAAGGTTATTAATAATCGTACAAACCCTCAAATTTTTTTGTTGTCAGTAACTTTGGTTTTGTTATTTTTGGGAGTCCACCACGGTTCATGAATAAGTTCAGCTTTATAATGGGCGGGTTTACTCAGATAAAGATCATCACTACCAAAAATACTGTCAAGTGCATTACTTGTACTTCCTTTAGTTTCTACGATTTCGCTTATTTGCTCATATATATCCTGTGTAAAACGTTAAAATAGATTATTTCTGACGTCATTGAACAAACATAACTGTAAGCTTACCATGACAGACTTGATAATGTTTATAGAGGACTTCAATTTTTCGATATGTTGAAGTTTCGTAGGTAACTCGAACTTTGGACCCGGAAAGACAACATAGAAACCCTCAATTGAATCCTCAATTAACATCTGCCCATTCGTACCCGCAATCTGTAAAAAGGGAACATTGATTTTCTTAGCCTGTTCATTGGTCAGGTTGCGATTCAACAGACCATTTAATATCGACTGATTAATACGAGCTGATCGACAACGGTCGCCAATTGCCTTTTGTGGTGTTGCATTTGACGCAAACTCCCATTCTCCAAGGTCTACTCCTGATGGTGATAAGAAGCGCACGTCGCACTTGCGACCATTTTTATAGTCCGTGTTTCTGCTCAATGGGCAGAACGACTCTCCCCTTATTTTAATATACAAAAATTGTAACATAAGTAACTTGTGAGAATTGGA